TTATGCATTTTTACATGCCTAACATTCCTCCCTTTAAAATCCCTCAGAGTATGGTATAACTCTCTAGATTATATTGGATCTAATTCTTAAAGAAAGCTAAAAAAAACTTACTAATGAGCTAGTAGTTGTGTGTCTTGTGTCATATCCTCAAAACAAGAGAATATGATGGATAATTTAACTACAAAGGTAAGCCTTGACCTTGGATAGCAAGCATTATAATCTTAGAGGCCAAGTGTATTCATGCTTTGGAGACCAAGGATATTATAAGTACCAATAATAACTTATTTGTGACATGTACCTAATAGTACGATAAGTTACAAACTCAAATTCTTCCACCTTAATCTTTAGTTTTTGCATTGTTCATAAGGACGCATCCCACAAAAAAAATAAAAAAATAAATAAAAAAAATATGGTTTGATGTTCAATTTCAAATGACAAGTTACGAATTCACCAATAAGCATCTTCTTTTGCTAAGATACAACACACATTAGTTGTAACCTTGTAATAGACATGCTACAAATAATTGTAAAAATTGAAGTTGCAAAACACAAGAATATGCAGTAATGGAAAATACTCCATCAATAACCAATTTCAAAAGAAAAAACTATTTGTTTACTTTCATCATTGATTAACTTCTTACAAAATAATTTCAATACTACAATCACATACTATTGGGATATATTTTAGGAAACAAGATAATTGTGAATATTGTGAGAATATATTCTAGAGAATATTGTGAGTTATTTTAGGTTATTTTGGTCTTGCCCTCCAAGTATACCTAATTGATAAATATATTGTATGTGGCCATTGTGATGAATGAGAATTGCACAGAGAATTATTCATTATATTTAGTCATGATATCAAGAGCTTAGGTTTGATCCAAATTTTTTTCTTAACGACTTGATTACACGTAATTTACATAATTTCGAGAAATCGTGAGAGTGTGAGAGTTCACATAAATTTTTTTTTTTTTGGATAGGAACTATTGTGACGATTATTTGCGGCATTCATTTGCTTGTGGGATCATATATTTGGGTGCAAATTTTTTATAATTGTGAGAGTTCACACTTATAATTATTGGGAGTTGTGATTAAGTTAGTGGGTATACAATTTACATTTGTGGGAATTTGAGTTCCACGTATTTGTTTGAGAATTTGTGAGGGTTCACAACTTCTACTTTATTATCTTTCTTGCGTGAAGAATCGTGTGCAGCATTGTGAGTTTTTTTTTTTTTTTTTTATCAATTAGAAGAATATTGTGCAGTTGCGTGATGGTTAGGGATTCGGCTGTCACCACCGCAGATGGGGCTGCTCTTGTAGGGGTCATGTCGGCTCAAATACAACAACTTCTTGATTATTTAAACTCTATTCAGCCCAAGCTTCCCGGTAAGCACGATTTGGGTTGGATTATTGACACTGGTGCCTCAAATCATGTGACTTGTGATCTATCTCTTTTGAGAAATGTGACGAATGTGAGCTATTATCCGGTGGGATTGCCGGATGGGAATTATGCCAATGCTTCCAAAATTGGATCGGTTCTATTGCAAGGGGGCTTGATTATTGAGAATGTCCTTTATGTACCGCAATTGAATTGCAATTTAATTTCGGTGACTCAATTATGTGATGAATCAAATTGTGTAATGCAATTTACTAATAAACTTTGTGTTATACAGGACCTAGCAACGAGGAAGGTGATCGGAACAGGTGAACGAGTGGATGGACTATATTATTTCCGGGGTGTTCCTATGGTGAAGACTATGAAGATAGATGGGGATCATTCGACATAGTTGTGGCATAAGCGATTGGGGCATCCTTCGGGTAAAGTGCTTCAACAACTTCCATTTGTGAGTCGTAGTAGTAATAAATTTAAATCATGTGATGTGTGTCCTCGAGCAAAACAACATAGGAGTAGTTTCCCCTTGAGTCAAAATAAATCTAGTCGAATTTTTGAGCTTGGTCACTTGGATTTACGGGGGCCCTACAAGATTCCATCGTCTTGTGGTGCTCATTATTTTTTTACTATAGTAGATGATTACTCTAGGGGTGTGTGGACTTATTTATTAAGAAACAAAATGGAAGTTGAGTATATGTTTCTTAATTTTGTTGCTATTGTTCGACGTTAGTTTTCTTAAGAAATTAAAGTGGTTCGTAGTGATAATGGTACGGAATTTAATTCCTTGAAAGAATATTTTTTTTGCAAATGGGATATATTTTGAGACCTCATGTGTGGGCACGCCTCAACAAAATGGGCATGTTGAGAGAAAACATCAACATATCTTGAATGTTGCTAGAGCTTTAAGGTTTCAAGCAAATTTGCCTTTGAAATTTTGGGGGGAGTGTGTGCAAGCATCATGTCATTTAATTAATAGAACACCTTCTCGATTGCTTGATTATAAAACTCCTATTGACATGTTATTTGGCAAATCTCCCTCATATGAGTATATTCGGGTATTTGGGTGTTTGTGTTATGCTTATAATCTTAAAAGTAACGGTGACAAATTCGCTAATCGAAGCCGAAAATGTGTGTTCATTGGATATCCTTTCAGGAAAAAGGGATGGAAGGTGTATGACTTGGAAACCTAGGAATTATTTGTGTCTAGAGATGTGAATTTTTTTGAGAATGAATTTCCCTTCATAACTCCTAATGTGAGTGATAATTCGGTGTCAAGCTCCATGCCGTGTGTAAATAGGGGTGTGAGTGATGATGAGTGGTGTTTAGAGGATGAAGAGGAGTGCGTCAGAGATGTGGGAAGTAATGTGAGATGCTTGGAGGATGAAGGGGAGTGCGTGAGCGATGTTGAGAATGCAGGGGAGTGCGTGATAAATGATGATGGGGCAACAGGTGATACCGCAACCACCCTGCGGCAGGAGACTACAACCCGTAGCCAGGCCGCGGGAGAGTCTGCCAAGCCATCTAATCAGGCCGCTGACTCTCCAGCGGGCACTGGTGGGACTGATCAGTGCAGCAGCCCGCAAGGAGCTCTTGGGCAACACGTTTTTCTTTCCCACTTGCATCAAGCAGCAGAACAGCAAGATGTGCAGTACGGGGATAGCAGTGGCACGACTATTCTTAGGCAGCCAGTGAGTACCGAGGCCTTGGGTAAAGGCATGAGACCAAAAATTCCTTCTGTGAAACTCCATGACTATGTGACACACACTATCCGAAATAATAGTCCATCTACTCCAACTCAGAGTTCACTTGTGACATCATCTCCCTCAGGTACTGAATACTCTATAACACATTATATTGATTCTCACCGATTTTATGTGAAACATAGAAAATATATTGCTGCTATTACAGGAGGAAATGAACCCAAAAGTTTCAGGCCATGAAACATGAGGGTTGGAGAAAGGCAATGGAAGATGAGATACAGGCGCTTGAAGAACAGGGCACTTGGGCGCTAGAAAAATTACCACCCGGTAAAAAGGCTCTCGAGAGCAAGTGGGTGTACAAAGAGAAATATGATGAGCATGGAAATTTGCAGAGATTAAAGGCGAGGCTAGTTATCTTTGGCAATCATCAAGTTGAAGGTCTAGACTACAATGAGACGTTTGCTCCAGTGGCAAAAATGGTGACAGTTCGGACCTTTCTTGCAGTAGCGGCGGTGAAAAATTGGGAAGTCCATCAAATGGACGTTCATAATGCATTTATTCATGGTGATTTGGAAGAAGAGGTATATATGAAAATTCCTCCTGGTTTTGAGAAAGATAATTCTGACAAAGTTTACAGGATGAAGAAATCGTTGTACGGGCTTAAACAAGCTCCAAGATGCTGGTTTGCAAAGCTTGCTACAGCTTTGAAAAAGTATGGCTTTAAACAGTCATATTATGATTATTCTTTATTTACTCTGACAAAGGGTAAAATATAGCTCAATGTGTTAGTATATGTCGATGATTTAATTGTCGCAGGCAATGATCAAAATGCTATGCTCAGTTTTAAATCATATCTGGGAAATTGTTTCAAGATGAAAGATCTTGGAGTGTTGAAATATTTTTTGGGGCTAGAGGTAGCCCGGAATAAACAGGGAATTTTTATTTGCCAGAGGAAGTATGCGTTGGATATCATTACTGAGGCAGGTTTACTAGATGTTAAGCCTGCAGGGTTCCCCATGGAGCAAAATCACAGGTTGGCTTTGGCTCAAGGAGAGTTTTTTCATGATGTGGAGAAATATCGTCGTCTCATAGGTCGACTGATTTATTTGTCTGTTATGAGACCGGATTTAGCTTATTCTGTTCATATTTTATCACAGTTTATGCAAAATCCCAAGATTGATCATTGGGAAGCAGCTCTGCAAGTTGTTAGATATTTGAAGAAGAGTCCGGGACAGGGGATTTTGTTGAGATCTGATAGTGCTTTACAGTTGGAAGGTTGGTGTGATTCAGATTGGGCAGGTTGTCCTCTCTCCAGACGTTCCTTAAGTGGTTGGTTTGTGCTTCTTGGTTTGTCCCCAGTGTCTGGAAAACCAAGAATCAACCTACTGTTGCTCTTTCTTCATCGGAAGCAGAATATCGTTGTATGAATGCAACGACTTGTGAATTAAAGTGGTTGAAACAACTTCTTGGTGATTTAGGTGTTAAACATGAGAATGGGATGCACCTTTACTGTGATAGTCAGTCAGCGTTATATATTGCGCAAAATCCAGTGTTTCATGAACGAACAAAACATATTGAATCAGATTGTCATTTTGTTCGGGATGCGATTACAGATGGGACGATTATACCTTCGTATGTTCCTACGACAGTACAGTTGGCTGACATTTTTATAAAGGCTTTGGGAAAAGCTAAGTTCGAGTTTCTACTTCGCAAGTTGGGCATTTGTGACCTGTATGCTCCAACTTGAGGGGGGGTATTGGGATATATTTTAGGAAACAAGATAATTGTGAATATTATGAGAATATATTCTAGAGAATATTGTGAGTTATTTTAGGTTATTTTGGTCTTGCCCTCCAAGTATACCTAATTGATAAATATATTGTATGTAGCCATTGTGATGAATGACAATTGCACAGAGAATTATTCATTATATTTTGTCACATACTATCATAAACGTACATCAAACATTCAACCACCATACTATTTTTTAAGTTCCTATTATAAAGATTAATGAGTACATTTAATTAAGCAGCAGAAATGTCAATGGACTTGATTTCAGACTTCTTCTCCTCTGCTTTAGGAACAGTGGCAGTAAGAACACTATTCTCCGTATTAGCTTTGATCTCCTCCATCTTCGCATTCTCCGGCAACCTAAACCTCCTTTGGAACTTTCCAGAACTCCGTTCAACTCGATGCCACTTGTCATTCTTCTCCTCTTGCTTCCTGTTTCTCTCACCACTGATTTGGAGCACCTTCCCATCTTCAACCTCAACCTTCACCTCCTTTTTCTTCAAACCAGGTAAATCCACCTTGAATACATGGGCTTCCGGAGTCTCTTTCCAGTCAATTCGGGCGTTCACAAATGCAGCCGTGTCGCCACCACTTTTCTTCAAACCAGGTAAATCCGCCTTGAATACATGGGCTTCCAGAGTCTCTTTCCAGTCAATTCGGGCGTTCACAAATGCAGTCGTGTCGCCACCACTTTTCTTCAAACTAGGTAAATCCGCTTTGAATACATGGGCTTCCGAAGTCTCTTTCCAGTCAATTCGGGCGTTCACAAATGCAGCCGTGTCGCCACCAGTGGTGGAGATTGATCGAGAGGTGGTGTTTTTTAAGGGGAAATCTTGAAAAGGGTCCCATAAATTAAGAGAGAATGGGTTGAAGATGTTGCTTCGTCGGATTTCGAAGAAGCTTGGAATTAGCGACATTCTTTCAGGAATTTCAATTGATCATCGATTTTGTTTTAAGGTTTTGATGAATTGTTTCTGATGAATAAATTCAAGACATTTAGATTTTATTTATAGATGATTAATCGAAAGTTCTAGTTTTATCCAGAATGTTTTTGTCTTTTGGGTTTTGAATAGATGCTATCTTAATTTGCCGGGAAAACAGAGAGATGGAAGATAACAGGGGTTTCAAGTATTTTCTAGAACTTTTCTCCAATGTTAATGAAATACTATTGTAGCTCTTTGCAAAGAATTTTAATTTGAAATAATATTTTTATTACTTCATTTAATTTGTCGGTTTTCTCTATTTAGGTTAGAGGTGATCAAGATTGGAGCGGGGCCGGGCTTTACTACTACGAAAACTCAAACCCAAACCCGTTAAAAAGTATCGGATTTGTTGGTCAAATTGGGCTTTTTAGGAAAAAACATGTTTTGTTTTTTTTTACTAAAATTGTGTATTTTATCTTGCCCAAACCTACCCGTTTTTCGAGCGGATCGGGCCGAGCTTGCGGGACGGATCATAGTTGATAACCTCTCATTTATCTCATCATCATTTATCACATGCATGTCTGATTATTTGTCTTTCAATCTCTTTTTTAACACTCACAAATAAATCTTAGCTAAAAATATGTACAACCCTCAAAAAAACATAATTAGTTGTTTGAATTGAAATATATCAAACTAGGCCAAGTTCTGTATTATGCACGTTCATTATTAAGGTTTACAACAAATGAATTATAAATAAATAGGTTAGGTGACTTAGGTCCCATGACATGCAAGGTTACTTTCAATAACTATTCTTTTTTATTAACATTAGATTTAATTATAAAAAAAAAAATTTGGTTTAGTTATTAATTTGTAAAATGAATTTATTATGAAAGTCTACTATTAGCATAAAAGATATTTTAAAATAGTTATAAATGTATATTTGTATATATTTCACCTATAAATTTATATCGTTTCTTCTTGTAAACCAAATTATATAAATAAATAAATAAATAAAAACTTAACAATATGTATTTAACTCGTAAGTAGATTTCTTTTTTGTACATAATTATTCATTCTATCATATGTATGTTGCATATTTTTCTCAATAATAAAATGACTTAAAATATTATTTCTCATTTCAAACATGATTAAATATAATTTTTTTTAAAAAAAAAAAATCCTTGTTTTATTATTGGTAAAGGGGTTGTACGTAACTCTACATGTGTCATAAATTATATTAAAAGTTTATGGTATCAATATATATTAAGAAGTATACATTAAATCTTTTCTAGTTTCTTTTTGAAGGAAAATCTTTTGTAATTTTGTATGATTTATTTTTATATAAATATTATTAAAAAAAACAACTAAGGGACACACCAAAAAATAACATGTGTCATTACTGTTGTATCTTTTAGTATATAGTTATTGATGATTGATTGATTGATGGTGTTGATTCAAAAATAATTTATCCAAAAATAATATATGTAACAAAATAACTTGAATTTTAATTTATACCTATACCAAATACGTAAAGGTTATTGAATTGGATTGTATAAAATAATAATAGAAATTAACAGCTATAAGATTTTATTTAAGAGAATGAAAATATTAGCTTAGGTTAGTACCCATATACAAACTCATATACATTTGCCCTTATATTTTCTTGGCACTTTTTGACCGGCATTATATGAAAATTTAGTTGATTTTATATTACTTTAGGACGATCAGTAGTATTCCATAATTAACTTTTTTTAAAATATATATATATATATATATATATATATATATATATATATATATATATATATATATATATATATATATAATTTAATGAGTAGTAGAGGTTTTTGTTATTTTTTTTATCAATCACAAAAATGTTTACAATAATAATATTGAATTTTCCAATGTATGTTATGTATACTATAACAACATGATTTTGTTCTTATATAAGTTAGTACTCTGTATAATTTTAAGATTTACCCAAAGTATGCTACCAAAATTATTTTTCTTTTCTATTTAAAATAAATTCAATTGTCAAAAGATAAAAGTTGGAGAAAAAAATTTGATAATATTATAATAATATTGGATAATAATATATTAGAATATTTTATTTTAAAAATGGATGTCATTAAAATTTGAAAAAAAAAGGAAATAAAAAAAGCGGGAAAATTGTATTGTTGTTATAACATTAGATCGAGATCAAATAGTCATTGTAACTCAATTTAAAGCAATAGGTTGTGTAAGAACATTTAGGGCCTGTTCTCATTGACTTAACTCAGCTGAACTGAACTAAGCTGAACTGAACTGAGCTGAACTGAACTGAATTGAGCTGAACTGAATTGAACTGAACTGAACTGAGCTAAACTGAACTGAACTGAACTGAACTGAAATGAATATTTTATAAGAGAAGGAAATTAGGAGCTGAGCTGAATTGAACTGAGCTGAGCTGAATTGAACTGAACTGAACTGAACTGAGATGAACTGAATTGAACTGAACTGAACTGAACTGAACTTAATTTAAACGTAAGAGAATAGGCCCTTACGTTAAATTGTTAGTGGTTAGTTAAATCCTAATTGTAGGGAATAATTCAAGCTTTAATCCCACTAGCTTGAACCCCACTGTGAGCATACACTAAAGTACGGTAGCTTCCAAAAGGGAAGAAGATAGAGTAAAAGAGTCGTCAACAAGTTTTAGGAACTTGTAAACCGTTCACGAGGTGAAGGTTACACCCCTTAACGATCCAACAGATCGTCAACTCCATAAGGTCTAGAACCAAATAAGGGTTCGGGGATGAAGGTATAAATCCAACCTAAAAGAGATTGAACCTGCCCTAATAATAGGCCTCTACTTTATTCTGATCGTATTCATGTGCGCTTTCTGACTAACATGCAATCATTAGGATTAACCGTAAACCTGTTTATCTATGTTGGTTGAATATTAATGCACAAATAAACTATTATTGGCGATCACTTGAATTATAATCATAATTAACCCTAACAAGATTATTAAATATCTTATTAAGCGTGATTACAAGTACAAAATTCCCTTTAAACATGCATAAAAGGTGTGATCAAGCAATAACAATGAAAATCAAGCAACATAATAATAATCAATCATTATAATAATCATAATAATTATAGCAATAATATCATTATAAATAAAATAATCATCATCAAAATAATAATAATAATAATAATCATAAAAATAATCATGGTAATCATGTTCATGTTAATATTAAAGCATAATAATAATAGCAAGATCCTAGGCATGATACTAACAAGATTAATAACAAACCCTAGCATGTCACTAAGCAATAAAAATCAAGTCTTTAGCCCTAACATGATACTAACAACCATAAATATTAGGAAGAACATAGGAAACATCGCAGGAAACATAATAAGCATATTTGATATTATAATTTTTCCCTGAACATGATACTAGGAATATCATAATAACAATATAAACATGATTTCTAAATCATAATATCAATAAAACCATTAAAGCACTTACTTTGATGCCTCGTACCTATTTCTAATAACAAAATACACACGTTAGTAAATTCAAGGAAAATAATAAACAAACAATTAAATTAAATAATTGAAAGAGAGATTTGGGACCAAACCCTCAGAAATTAAACCTTTCACGTCTAGGGCGAAGGCAACTTCGAATATGGCTAGGTGTTTCTAGATCTTGTGAATGCGGAATTTTGTATGTAAAAAGCAAAGTTTAGAAGAAAGAATTGAGGAAAGAGAGAGATTAGAAAACTGATTGTAGATGAATGATCGTGAGAATTGGTGAATGAAAACGGAGTTTTTAATACGTTATTTATAGAGAAAATCAGCCAAAAATATAAAATTAACAAAATAGAGTCTGACGCACAAAAAACAGAGTTGTCGCAAACCCTGGCTAACTAGCGCCAGGCACCAACACTAGCGCCAGGCGCCAATGGTTAGCGCCAGGCGCCAGGCCTGGTTCCAAGCGCCAAAGCTTGGGGTCAGGCGCCAAGCCTAATTTTAACGCGTTTTCGAAAATCAGATAAGTTTGTCGTACTTGAGGATAAAATCATATAATTTACTTGAAAATGCTATTTGATTTTGATTAAAACTCTGAAAAATAAACAAAAGTCAATTTATCAATGCTAATTGGATTAGGAATGAAAAGAACCTTCTAAATCTAGAAGACTAAAACCATTCCTAATTGCATTAGGAATGATAAATCATATTAGGCCCTCCCCTAGATCATTGGGCCGTATATAAAGCTTAAACCGAGCCCAGTTTAGTAAATTGGCCATAACTTCCTCAATATTCATCAGAATTGGGCTTATAATATATCGTTGGAAAGGTCTTTGCAAGCCCCATCCAACTACACTACTATTGAACCCATATCATGGACCAACCAAACTGGATTGGCTGTTTTCTTAAAATAAGTTTTCAAAAACAAAGAGAAGAGAAAAGAATTAAAAACTATCCGCAACACTAGACTTTCCACACTTTCGCTTCATCCGATTATGATTCGACGTGAAAGGTACTCATCACTGGGTTTGGTTTCGGGGAGACACAAATGGGTGTCTACAGAAGCCCCTACTTTGACTGAGTTTGGAGAAACGCGAGTTTCGAAAACAAAAGTCAAAGTATCGATAGGGACGGAGAATGATTCAGAACGTTCTGCGATCCTAAACCACTCTTGTAACGCCGATACCTGCAAAACTATCGTTAGTTAAACAGATAAAAGAGTTAAGAAACGCGTATCTTGCACCGTCGAGCACACGTCTCTGAAAGTAACCGATTTCCTGCCGTTTTACTGTTGTTTTGATGACCTTCTGCAAGCTAGAGAATGCCATCCCGCTTGAAAACTGCTACGCCCGTAACTGCTTCCAAATTAGAAGATTGCTTCGCCTGAAACGATCCTCCTCCGCTATGATGATATTCCACGTCCAAGGGAATACCATCGAAGATTTCTTCTCTTGAAACAAATCCTCATCCGTATTGACAATATTCTGCGTCCAAGGGAATACTATCGAAGATTATTTCTCTCGAAACAATCTCCATCCGCATTATGACCATCTTCCATGCCTAAGGGAATATGATCGAAGACATCTTCGCCCGAAATTACCTCCAGTTGTTTGTGACAACTCTCCGCAAGCTAGGGAACGCCGTCGAAGATACTTCACTAGAAGTCATCCTCATTTGATGCGATAATTTTCCTAAGGAAATTACCGAAGACCCACGCCTGTCGATCTTTAAAAGTTCGCCTGAACTTTGCTTTCGCTATGCATGTACGTCGACATTTCTGCTGCTTTGAACCTGTACATCGGTGCCTTTTGCAAATGAACCATTATGTCGGTGCCTTTTGCTAATGAACCATTATGTCGGTGCCTTTTTGCTAATGAGCCAATGCTTAGGCGCTTCAAGCTAAGTGAGACGATCTATCATCAGGTCGACCACTTTATGTAATCAAGCCGATTACTAAATCATGTCAAATTGCTTAGAGGGGCTAACTGGCGTACCAAGGAACCCAAAAATATGTTGCAAAAAGGTGAAACAACCTCATCAGGTGGCTGGGTGCTCTGGCGCCGCGGAAAAGCCATCGGCGCCACTTTATTAGTCTTAGCGCCAGGCGATGAGATTGGCGGCAGGCGCCAAGCCTAATTTTTGACGCCAATGCATAGGGCTTGGCGCCAGTACGGGGATTTCCTTAAATACCCCTTTCCTCTTCATTTTGCTGGCTGCTCGTCGCGAAACTATTCGAAAAAACCCGAAAGCTTCAATTGCTCGGTTCTTGCTCGTTTCTCAACCGAATTCACTCAAATTCGTTGCAAATTAAAGCTCTTTTCATCTATTTTCCCGATCTATGTAATTTTTCTTCAAAATCACATTGGTTTTTTATGAATTCTTTGCATGTTTATTCACGAATTTTATGTAAATTCGAAATTTATAATGCTCAATTTGCTTTGTTTGTCAAGTTTTATGCCATGAAATTGCTTGATTATGTTTGTATATTGCCTTGGGAGTAATTTGAGACTTGTTTGACTCAATTTGGTGAAGAAATGAGCAATTTGCCATTGTTGGACCTCCTAAGGTCGTGAAAAACAATGTGACTCGTTCTTGATGTTTTCGCTAGCAATTCTTGTCTAATTTGTCACAATAATTACTATAGTATTGCAAGAAATTGTTTGATTGCTTGAAAAATGCCGTTATGCTCAATTTGGATTTGTGCTCTGTTTTAGTACTACGTACTATGTTTTTGCGAACATAGTATCATGCGGCTAGGCGAGCCTTAGATACTGTCACTAGTAGAAAAAAATGCTATTTGTAACTGGCGAAATTAGCTTTTTGTAACTGGCATTGTTGGTTGCGAATGCCACCGTTACAACTAGTGAAAATTATTCGTAACCGGCTAATGTTAGTTACAAATAATGTACTATTTGTAACTGACTTAACCCAACGCCAGTTACAAATAGTCTATTTTCATGTTAGAAAGCATATTATTCATAACTAGCGTTAAGTTATGCAGGTTACAAATAGTGTATTTTTGTAACTGGCATAGCCTAACGCCAGTTATGAATAGTTTTAGTTTTTCTTTAAAAAAAATCTATTAGTAACTAGCAGTAGATTAAGCTAGTTACTAATAAATATTTTTTTTATAAATATTTGATTCAAATCCTACCGAACGACCCAACGTCAAATGGTTAAAACCTGTTACACCCTATTACAATTTAACAAACAAAACACGTACTCCAAATAATTTCACATAACTTGTATTCACCCCACTAATACGCTACATTTTTTTTTATTATGTGAAACAGTATAAAATATTAATTCACTTTTATGATAAATACAAAGATTATATATCCTAAACAATGTAAGGCTCAATTTAATTAAAATCTACATATATATCATCAGCTCTACATCAAGAAAATGATGTACTTATAAATTACAAGCATGTCTCTCACAAGGCCCAATATTGTCTCTCACATAACTCTGTCTGTTGTTCACATTGTTTTGTCTCTCCGTATCGGAAAATCAGAGCTGACCATTGCTCGGAAACTTACTAGAAAGCATGCACCACCTTGATCAACTAATATCTTGAACTCGAATTGACATGTCATGTCCTGAAAATAAAAATTTACAAAGTATATATAACTCAAATTAAAGTTCGGTAGTAAGCCATTGGAAAAAGGAGATCAACACTTACAGCTTCAACATCTAGAAGAGTTTCAGAAAATATATAGTGACACTAGCACACATCAAAATGTATTTTATTAGGGATTAGGCAAACATGCATGGTGGATATTTCTTTTGCAAATGGCATGAAGTACAGTCATATATAAAGAACTACCATACCAGGAAAGTTATTAAATTTTACATAAAATCAATGGCAGGAAACACAATTAAAGCACCCATACTTGCTATTCTAAATCTGATATTTGTACATGCATCTAGACTAAAAAATTCACATCATCTTCCAAGAACAAATAACAAGGTATCTATTTCTCAAACATCTAGACTAACTTGAAATACTTAATACTGTCCATCACTAGCTTTAGAATATGCAAAGAATACTTGAATACTCATTATCATTATCTTTCCATTTTTTTCTTCTTCTTATTGTAACAACTTAGCAAAGGCATCGTACCTAGCTTATAATCTATTAATCAACTTTTCCTCCACTATATCAAGTTTCTCTTGAACTTTGACATAAGTTTGTTTATAGCCTCTTCACCCATATGTTTTTAACACAAAATATGTGCACAAATCAGAGTAAAAAAACCACACAAAGTATAACAGTAGCAAGGATGAAATTTATATGAGCAAAATACTCTTAAAACACCTTAAACCGCACAGGAATATCCCAGCAAAAATCTCAACACAGCTCTAAGAAAAACCCTCTAAAAAAGAAGCATATACCAAATTGAACAAAAATTGACCAGTTTTCAGAAAACAATCCAGTTTAATAGCAGCCAAACTCAAAAAATTCTGAAATTTTACAGGAACAGAGTAGACAAAAAATAACCCAAATTCAAAAAAAGAATCACCTAAAAATCATCTGTTATGAAGGAGAACGAGCCCAGAGAAGTCAGACCTTCAAACTGACTCTAATCCAGCGAGATTCTACTGAATTTACAAAAAGGTATGAATAGATCTTACCTTTGATGGGAGAATTTCAACAACGATTGAGGTAAATTTCATCCTCGCTACTTTAACACATGAGAAGGTGTAGCCGTGTAGGAGTACAAGTATGCACTTTAATAAAACAAACTAACGCTAATTTGGTGGGAAAATGTTTTCTATATAATGATTTAATAGTGATAAATTACCACATGTTAAATTAAGAGAAGACATACAACCGACAACGAGCATATAGTTATAACTTAACCCATTTTATATCAATAGGATACAAAGAGCAAATTATGTACCTGACTATAGTAAATTATACAAAGAGTAGTACAACATAGCAAATTATGTAAACATCCACCCTCTAAATTAATGAGTTGACCCTCCCTTTTTCAATAGAACCCCAAAATAACCAGATCAAGCTCATCATCAAATAACCCTTGCATATGTTCATCAATTAATGAGTTGACCTTGCATATGTTCATAAGACTTCTCCACTAAATCAAAGCAGTTATAACGAGGTTTCTCGACTCTATAAGCATGATGGCTTGGCATGCAACAAAAAGAAAGTAATTGGCTTGGCATGCAACAAAAAGAAGAGGTCACAATTACTTAACTTAAGACAAAAATTGTAATAAAAAATCCAAAAAATTCTACAATTAAATACGGAGTACATCAAATTATCACAATTACTTAAATTTAGACAAAAAGTGTAATCAAATTATTTGTACCTGAGTTGGAAAAACATTTCAAGCTTCATCAAAAAACTCACACCTCCTTACTCATCCTTGTAAACATGGTAAACACCATGACTACTCTAATACATCACTAGAACCACCATCAAAGAACACACAAAGCAATGAGCAACCAAATTTAATTATCACAGAAATTCAATCCCATAAATTATAACCAACACGCTCATGAACAAAAAGCAAAGAAAATAAAATGCCTAAAATCTATCACATAAATGAACTGAACATCAATTGCATAATAGTGGCAAAAAATTTACCCTGCCCCTCTTTCTTTATCTAATTAAAATTGTATATTTGACCACAGTAAGATTAATTTGGCGATATTCATTTTGATTGACAATGAAATAAATGTAATTCGAATAAATCAAGGGTAGTTTGATTGAAATTGCTGATATTCGATAGAATTAATTGCGCTAAAAAATCGATTGAATAATTTGCCCTAAAATTAGAACTTTGAAGTTTCTTTTAATCTACCTAAAATTCCAATCAAAATACTGAAAGTTGAGGAATATATGATTGAATTATAAGTACAATTTAATTGTATAATTCGAATAATGAATATATACTGCAATTATACTAACAAAATCGAATCAAATTCCTACAGAAGAGGAATAATTCGAAACTCACCTATTTAGTGCAGTGGTGGGGCTACGGTGCAGCAGTGCAGTGGTGGGGCTACGATGCAGCAGTGCAGTGGTGCTTCGGTGGGTGTGGCGGTGCGCCGGTGTGTCGGTGACTATGGGCGTGCGTCAGTGGGTGCGGCGGTGGGTTCGGCGATGCAAAGGCTGACGCTTCTTTCAGAATAAATTAAGTGAAAGTGAAATTAGCGTGGGTTACATTATTTCTCTTTCATAAAAAAATTAATTTGAGGGTAAAGTAATTCTAATATCTATTCCTAATTTTTTTAAAAAAAGAAAAAAAATAGAAATAGGGACTCTACCATTAATTAGTTGATTTTTTTATTAAAAAATAAATATAATTGTTGAGAATAATTTGCTAACCGTTTTGTATTTTTCGATTCTTATTCTAGTGTTTGTAGTAATGTTACTATGCTAACTTATCAACAACAAAAATTAATTCGAATTTTAGGGCTATTATTAAATTAAGAACCCTAATTCGAAATATTACATACCTTAAAATCTTGATATAGAACCACTAAAGCTTAACCCAAATTCGAAAAATCAAAATCATACTGAATGGAGTGAAGGAGAAACTGTAGGAGGAAGAAGGAGTTTTTACCAGTAGCGCAAGAAGTTGGAGCGAAAATAAAAAGTTTGAATCTGTTGTTTGTTTTCAGTGAGAAATTGTTTTTGGCCTCTAACTTAAATAAAAAAATAAATAAATGAAATTAAATAAAATTAATAGGAAGTAGTAACTTAATATTTGTAACTGGCGTTTGTAAGATAGTTACAAGCTTTTAATATTTGTAACTGACGTTTGTACGCTAGTTACAAACGCTTTGGTCAAAGTTTCTTTGACTTAATATTTGTAACTGGCATTTAATTAGTCAGTTACTGATAAAACTTCAAACAATGATAAACCACATATTAGTAACTAACATTTACTACGCCGGTTACTGATGTCATGAAATTTGTAACTGGCATTATCTTAGTCAGTTACTATTAATGCTTTCGTAACTGACATAACATACGCCAGTTACTAATAGGACGTTACAAATAGCATTTTTTCTACTAGTGTATAAAACCTTAATTTATGATGATTTTGCACAATGAAGCATGGCTAGACAGCGAGGCTCGGGTTCACGGTCCCGAAATACTCGACGGGAGCATGAGCCCGTAGAGGATGACGCCACACCTTCCACTTCGCTTGGTCAACTTTCCGAGTGGGATGAGCGGACCCTGTTCTTCGCCCCCTTCCACCACATTTCTGAGACGGGGCATCACGGTCAGGAGGACACGCTATCACGGTTCCGGCTGTGATGGTTTGGGCGATTTGTATAAGATGTACATTGCCAGGGATCGTGAGACGAGACTCCTATGGGAGTCTTGTGGACTGTCTACTTTATTCGAGACCTCTAAGGCTATGGTTGCCTCCAGCGGGGGTCATCATGTAGTGCGCGCTTTGGTGGAGTTCTTTTGGGACACTACCAACACTTTCCATTTCCCCTGGGGCGAGATAATGGTCACCCCTACGGACTTCAGTCTCATCACAGGACTGGAGTTCACCTATGTGCCACTGTCGTTCGACAGTAGAATCGACGTCTTTTCTTCGGAGGTCGAGGAGCTGTTGGGGCCGATCGCTATTCGGGCCCGAGCTGAGGTCGAGACGACTCAGTTTAGCGCTAGAGGAATTCGCCGCTTGACGCTAGCAGCGGCTCTTGATGACGATGCGACCACCCGAGAGCAGTGTGTGCGCATCTTTGCGCTGATGTTATTGCTAGGGACATTCTCCCCTGACAAAGGTAGTAGGGCGTTGCTTTACTATCTTCCTGCTGTCCGTGATCTTCATCGGTTCGGGACTTACGACTAGGCCAGCTTGGCCTATGCTGACTTTGTTCGTGCGTTAAGGGACTCGTGGCGACACCGGTCCTTTGGGACGAACATCGCTTTGTTTGCCTTTTGGAAGGCCGTAGAGGTAAACAATATTCCCTATAAAAATTTAGCTCTACATTTTAGCTAGCATTTACTTACAATTTTAACTCCTTGTAAATCTGGTTCTACGAGTACTACCCTTCTGCTGCGCCGGCGAGACCATCGCTGCGCGGATTTCCAGTGAGCGCCTCTTAGGGCAGTCGCCATGTGGATACGTCTACTACACATGTCCGGAACTGGATCATTACGGTACGACTTTTATTATTTATTTGCTTTTCCGCGATGCTTTAGGTATACTCTCGCCTGATTAATGTTCTTTGTAGGGGCCTGAGGTGGTGTATCGGCCGTGGGGCGGTTGGACAGTCCCTGGGTTAGCCGCACAGTATTCTGCTAAGCGTCACTATTTCCTGGGGACTTATGGAGCAACTGTATACTTAGGAGAGAGGGTTGTTAGACAACATTCCTCTGATGTCTTTGTCGTTCCTGCTGCTCCACCACGTCATATGTTCGACGACGCGCGGTTGTCGAGCATTTTGAGGGAGATGGTACCCCTTGGCGCTCCTATGTGATCCCTGGGCAGTGCTATGCTGAGGAGCTACTACCGTTGTTAGCTCCAGCCCTCGTACCGGCCGAGGATGTGAGGGTAAGATTTTTTCAGCTTTTACTTTCCATGAAGTAGCCCCCAAGTAATGTTTTACTGACTTTTGTTTTATCAGGACGGTGCTGCTGAGATCGTGCCAGCCCGTATGTCCATCCACTACCAGGGGATGTACGGGCCGATTGAGGAGATGATTTCTCCTGCTCCCGAGGGCGAGCGCTTCGTAGAGCGGTCGATTCCTCTCCACCAGACTCGAGTAAGCCTAGTTATTCACAATTTTTGTCCATATATCATGCATGTTTACTGACTTATTTTTGTGACAAATTTCGCGCGAGGTGGTTTCGGCGATGGCACGATGTATAGATGCCTTCCGGAGCCAGCTCGTCCGGATGAGGAATGCGGCCACTTGCCGTCGGTATGACGTCATCCGAGAGGTAGTCTTTCTTTTATATATTTTTTGCATTACCGCTTTAATTTTGCCTTGTTTATGGTTTAATTCTTTTTGCAGGGCCAGCCTATTGCTTCTCACACCCGTACGAGACCTGAGGGGCGGAGGGATTCGGCGAGGTCCAGCTCGAGACGTCGTCGTACTTCATCAGGTGGCAGAGGTGGTCGCTCTGAGGCTGCTCGCGCAGAGGGCTCAAGATCTTCTTCTGAGGGTGCTCATGCTGCACCGGTAGGAGTGGCTACCTCGGCCTTCAGAGGTGGTGGGATGTACGAGGTAGGCTTGTCATCGCAGCACCCTCCGCAGTCTCAGCCTCAGGTTGATCCTGGGTGGAGTGGACCTACATTGAGCTTTCCTCCTCCTGCGGAGACTGGAGCTGGAGCTGGAGCTGGTGGAGAGGTGACTCCTCGTACGGCGCAATTTTATGATATGATGGGCATACGTCCTCCGGCGCTGTAGTTTGTTCCTGTGTATATTTTATTTTGACTTTTTATGGAACCTTGCCTTAGACTCATTATTTATAGACACATTTTGTATATTTATGCTATTATGAGCTATTTTATTTGCTATTATTATGTGCATGTATGTGTGTGCAAGAGAATTGTGACATACAATTTTGCGCAAAAATTCCGTCATTTTTATTATTGATGGAGGGTATCCGACTCTCTCCCCCAAAAGAAAAAATAAAAAGGAAAAAATCAATTAATGTCGGGTGTTTGGAATTTAAATAAAGTCCAAAAAAGAATAATATAATTAAAAATAATAGCTATTTTAATTAATTAAGAAAAAGGATAAATAAAAAAAATGTTTAGGAAAGATAAACGGAGCCATAAAGTCATTAGCCGACTCGAGTTTAGGATTAAAGACGCAAGTTAAGCACGTGCGCCTGATGTGGCAACTTGGCGCCATCTGGCGCCACAATATGGCGCGTGGCGCCAGGCGCTACACTTAGCGTGTGGCGCCAAGCGTTGGCGGCTGGCGCCAATTACGGGATTTTGACGCTGATGCCGTATTTCATTCTGATTAAAACTTCTCGCAATTTGTGTATAAATAGCCCCCTGCCCAGTCGATTCTTCTCATAATTCCAGCGAATAAAATAATTCTTTGCTTTAGAAAAAATAATAACCATGTCTTTAAACACCAAAACCTTCACCCAATATACTCATGAATGGTGTCGATCTCTTAATGCTAGGGAGAGAAAAGAATTAGATTTATTTCACTTGGGGGGAATTTATGGCATCAAAGGGGTAGATCTTGACTTAGATTTCATACATACCGCTCTAGAATTTTAAAATATTGATACTCATTGCTTTAGAATAGGGTATGATGAGATTAGCCCTTTGCCAGAGGAATTTGGTGCTATCTTAGGCTTCCCTGCGATAGATCTCATAGTAATCCCAAGAGTAGATGCATATTATTATAAGGATTTTGAGCGCTTCTTTAATTTAAAAGAAAGGGATTTATCAAAAATAGTAGATGGCTACATAGTTAATTTGAAAGAATTTGCACGCCATTATTTTGATAAACCTCTTTCTGAATCTTTTCATATATATAGAAGAAGGGCTTTCTTATTTTGCATGCTTAATCAATTTTTCCTTAGTAGTGGTAAAAATAATGAAGGTCAATCAATTATAACCACTATTTTAGAACAAATTGAATCAGGGAGAAATCGAATGCCATTGATAGTTGGAGAGACTATAATTAGTCTTGATGAACTGAAAAGGGACCCAAAAGCACCTTTTCGCGGCTCTCCAATTTTATTACAGGTAGAAAAATAATATTTTTAATTTCAGAAATCAAAAAATATATTTTTGTATTGTAATAATAATTTAGTTGCATTGCAAATTATTTTTTTACAGATGTGGCTAATGGAAAGGCTAGGACTAATTAGCCCTCCGGACGATATTGAGAAGTATACTCCCAATTGCTTCGTGAGAAGGAAGAAACGCATCCCTAAAATTGGGCGCCATGGGTGGAGAAAAGTCTTCGAATCTCGTTATTTTGCTATCAAGTGGGTCGTCCCATGGTGGAAAATAGAAAGGATGGTTGGCGTTAACAAGCAACCTTTCTGCCGCCTTCCAAGCTTGTCTCGTGTGACTTATTATTACCCCTACAGGGTAAAAAGACGATACGGCTTGCTTCAGAATATTCCTTCCGGGAATCTTCGTCCTCCCTATGAGTACCCTGTTTCTCAAGAAGTAGACAGATTTGATGCTTACTGGAGTGCTAGACCTTTGTGGGAAGTGATTACCCAAAAGGTTCCTCCTTCGTT